GGGTGTGAGACAGTTGGGGCTTGTTATTTTTAATAAGGAGCAGGCAGTCGTGAGGAGGTCGGGGAGCGCGGTGTCGGCCGTCCGCCCTCCTGGGGGCTGGAGCCTTTTTGGGTTTATCAGCGCTTTACGCTTTCTGCTGTATGGAACAGAGATGCTGCATTGGAGTGAGAGCAGGCGGCATCCCAGCTCTCCTGGGTGCTTTTGCCTAAACAAGCAGCGGTCCCGAGGGCTGAGCTGAGATTTGGGAGGGAGGGAGGGAGAGGGGGGTGAGCTGCGATGCCATTCTATGGGATACCCCTGCCGGGTTCCCCTCCGGCTTCCCTCCCTGCGGCTGAGCAGAGCTGGTAGCTTGTAAAAATTAAGCTGATTTGAATTATTTAACTAGTTATCGATCCATTATTTATGATGTAAACTACAGCTTTGATCCCCGCTTCTGCTGCTTGCCCCGGCTCTGCAGCTTCCCCCCGTTCCACCCCGACCTCCACATCTGCTCAGACCCCAAATAGTCACATCCTTTTCTCAAAGGATTCTTTGTGTCCATCCCTCCAAAACTACCCTCACACACAGATGTGTATTTGCTCCTGAAACACTCTGTAAAAAACTCAGGAATGCAATAGCCAGGGAGAGCTCCAGGTAGGAGCCACAGCAAACAACACGTAAGGGAGTAGCCGAGTAATTTCTGCAGGTGCTGATGCCGTATTTGTTCGCAATTAGAGCCTGGATGAAATAATCCTCCCCGCTGCTGTTTTGCATGTTCCTGATTGTCTTATCACCTAAATGCCGGCACCAAATTGTGCCCCAGGGCCTGATGCCGCTGGATCGCACCTGGGGCTGTGCTGGGACCCTGGGGGCATCTTAAAGCCACAACCCCGAGCCGCGGATCCTGCATCTGACTCTGAACTTCTCCCAGGCGCCGTGCATCTGATATTTAGGCCTGCTCTCCGTCCTTAATTAGCAGAGGGCCCACGGGGACCTGTTCTTTCCCCGCTTCATAGGGTATTTTGACAGTCACTCGAGAGCCTTCTGTTGTACTGAAAGGGGATCTGTCATCGCCGCTAATGGACGCTGTCATTAATACTTCCAGTGGTGAAGGAGGCACGGGCACACTCACAAACGCGTGCATTAGCCTTTCCTCTGGAGCCCCTGGGAGCTGAAGTGATCCATTATCATGGAGGCAGAGTTAAAGAGCAACACAGAGAGATTTTGGGTCCTCCTGAGCCTCCAGGAGAGGAGCTGCTGCCTGGTCCAGTGCCCGCAGCTCCAGTTCTGGCTGTGGAGCCTCCTTTGGAGGGGGCGACTCCGGCAGGACTGTGGGCATGGGGGTCAGGAAATGGCTTTTGGTAGCAGATGGGCTTTAACAAGAGGTGACGTGGCCAGCACAGGCAAAATGCACCGTTACCAGGATAAACGAGCGTAATCCAGTGTGCTGGGTTTGGTGATGAGCGTTTGGGTGGAAGTGGGGCAGCTCCTGCTGCGGCAGCATCCCCAGGGAAGGAGGACTCCCAGGGTGGGTGATGCAGGAATTTGTCCTGTGCTGTGTCGCTTTTATTAAGGATCATCGCTACGGCTGGAAAGGGCACGCTTTTGATCTTTACTGGATTTCGGCTTGCGAAACCTTTTCAAGGTTGGGTACATTTTGTCCGTCTCAGAACAGAGTGTTTCAATGAGTTGCAAATGGTTTTATTGTAATGTATCTGTCCTCTTGTAAAATGCCTGAGCTCAGGAGGGGTTGATTTAGATGCAAAGCTTGGATTCAGCCCTTCCTGAGCCGCTCTGGGTTCAGATGTGTTGTGACCTGCAGCAGAAATCCTGGGACCACCCAAAAACCACCCTAAAGCAGTGAAGTCTCCGAGGTCCAAATGGACTGGACACAGCACCCTCAAGGGGTTCACCCCTCCCTGGGCTCACCAGTCATCCCATAACAGACACCAAACCCTGTCTGCAATTACTGGGGGAGCCCTGCTCCCCGCTGCAGGTTGGGATGTAGAGGATGCTGAGGCTGCTTGGCTTTGGTACCTGTCCCCACACAGAGACGTGTCCCCATGTGTGCATTCCCCTGCCCTGGGCTCGGTGCTCCCTGTCTGCATCCCGACATCGCCCTGAGGAGCCGAGCAGAAGGAGACAGAGCGGGGACCTGGAGGAGGGGAGCTCCCCAGCCCAAGGCAGAGGGAGCAGATGGTGCTCACAGCCCGGCCCCGCTCCCTGCTGAGCCCGCAGCGATGCCGCCGCAGCGGGGCCGGGGCCGGGGCCGTCTGGATGCGTTTGCCATGGCCCGGTGGGCTGAGGCATCAGCACGAAGCGGGGGACGGTGCTTTGCTGCGGTGCTGGGGGAAGGGGACGCCCAGCCCCAGGTGGGGTGGATTAAAGCAGTGTTTTCTGTCTGTCTGTCTGTCTGTGCTGCTGCCTTTGCCTTGGACAAGGCAGGGGAGGGGAGATGCTGTGGCCGCGATGTCCAACCGCCCGGCTCGGGGACAAGGGACAGGGGCTGTGACAAAGGGTCTGAGCACCGGGACAGGAGCAGAGCCATCAAACAGGGGGTTTTGCAGGCCAGGCTGAGCCCAAAGCTGCTGCCTCTGCCCTGGCCCCGTGGCTCAGGTGTGGGCAATTGCAATCAGTCCTCATTAATGTAATTGCAGGCAGGGCTGTGCTCTGCTGTCCCAGTTCAGGACAGAGGCTGGAGAGTTTGCTGGAGAGGTAAGAGGAGAAAAAGGAAAGGGAAAAGTTTAATTTTGGGGTGTTCAAGCACAAGGGGAGGAGGATGAGGGGCTGCAGCATGGCAGGACCCTGTTGGGGTCGGGGGTGCAGGGTTTTACCCCTGAGCATGGCTTGGGGGGGCAACCTGAGCTCCCTTGGGGCTGGC